CAGCTACACCCCCGCCCCTTTTGTCTACTTGATCTCTTCTGTACAAGGTATAGCTGTCTATACCTGTGGCCCAGTCATAGGTGGAGTGCCACCAGGTCTCCATGATCCCTATGAAATCACAGTCATTCTTATTTAGCAGGAGGACCAGTTCCTCCTGTTTATTCCCCAAGCTCCTGGCATTGGTGTACAGGCAGGTAAGTGTCCCATTGGAGGCCCTAGTCTTCCCTATACATCATTCCGGAGCTGGGGTAGGGGTGGGTTCCCTTGAGTGCGTTAGCCTTCTGGATTTGCAAAAGTTGCCCAGTGGGCTTTCTGTGGCGGTAGCACCCCCATCCCCCAGCGGGCTTAGTTTTAAGCCTGGTCGAGCAGGTCAGCCAGTCTGGCTGAGAAGAGCTTCCTCCCCAGTGCAGTGTGGTGGAGGCCATCTCTGCCCAGCAGACCTCTGCTTTTCTCCCCAAAGAGTGGACTGTGATCGTGGAAGCCGATCAATGTGGCTTCTAGTGGTATACTTTCTTTCTGTAAATTTAGGGGAACAAGATGTATTGATATAAATCACATATATACTTGCATAGTACCTTCTACCCTAAGGTTGGTATTGGCTCAGCTATACTGGTAAATATAGGTGGATCTAGGATTTTGAAAAGGTGGGTGCAGATGGTGTGGCACATCACCTATAACACAACACATATTTTTCCTCATTTAAGGGGAAATGAGAAGGTTTACTGAAACACTGAGGAATAGTACTGTATTATTCAGTTTATGATCAAAGCAAAAACAAATATATGTGCACTAAGTTTAATATATTAAGTTTAAAAAAATAAATGAAGTAAAAAAGAGTAAAAAATAGTCAAAACATACTATCATTAGTGCCATATTCATTATAGATAAATGTATGTCTCTTATTCAGATTCATAAAACAAAATCTAGACTTCTTGAATGTCTTGACAGTGCCTCCAATACTGCACTGTCAGTCGTTTCTACATCGGAGTAAATATTACCATACCTGAGTTAAAGTTTTTAGGTAGAGCTAAAAACAGTCTGCAGGGCTGTGGAATAGGAGAAAGACTTTACCAGGAATGGCCAACAGGCAGCAAAACTGCAGAAGAAAGAATAGTGGAACATCAAAACCATTGAAAAAGATAGAGGGTCATTAACACCTGTGAAGTGGAGAGAGATTAGGAGAAATCAGGGAGATGATAATGAGCCGTGAAGTCAATTGATTCTCTCAGTTATGCCTGAATAGAAATGCCACTGCATTTAGTTTGAAAGCTTGCATAGGGCAGGAATCAAAGGTTGGTGCAACTGTATCACGGCACCCCTGCTGCACCTGTCTTTGTTGGTAAGATATCACTGCCCTAAACCACAGGATTACAGTGGGTCCAACCAGTGTGTAGACTAGGCCAAAAGCAAGAGACAGTAACAAGAAAGGAGAAGGAAGGATCCCTCCCCATAGCCAGCACCTCCCCAGCACTCTAAAAAGCAGAATTTTCTCTGGGAATTGGACAGTTCCCTTCCACTTGCCTTCCCAAGCTCTGCTGCCATGGGCTGTGAGGATGGGACACTCACTACCTGCTCTCCTTACCTTGGACCAACCTCACCAATCCCCAAACACTACAAGTCACTGGGGCCATCAGAAAAATGGAAGGTCAAGAAAAACTCTCTTTTGGGTTAAAAGCCCAGACACTTGAGTTTCTAACTGCCCCCTCCCCCTCACACACCTGCTCACTCATTTAATTAATTAGTGTTTGCTGTCCTGCTAAAGGAATAATGAGGTAGCAATACACAAGATACAACTGTACAGGTAATCCTTTGCCCCAGACAACATCAAAATAAAGCAGCAGGTTGAGATTTTTGCTTATCTTGAAAATGGCAAACAGTTGTTTATAATGCAGTCATTTCCAATCTGGGTTTTATTTAATAAACAGAGGGAAGTCAGCACTGCTAGCGCTTGCAGGTGAATGCTCTCATGACCATTTAGGCAGCACCAGGGGGTATGTCCACCCCAGCCCTGGCACTTCCACACTAGGAGCAGAGCCAGTCTCCCCAACTCCTATGCCCCATGAGCATGCCTGAGGCACTTCATTCTTTATGATTCAAGTGCTGCGGGTCTGCAACAGACTCCCCGCAGAGGTGGTACAGTCACCTACCCTGGAAATCTTTAAAAAATGTCTTGATGTGCATCTTGCTGGGGTCATCTGACCCCAGCAGTCTTTCCTGCTCAAGTGCGGGGGGGCTGGACCTGATGACCTTGTGAGGTCCCTTCCACCCCTAACGTCTACGAAACTATGAATCTATGTTCTCTTCATCTCTGGCTGGTGTATAGTCTCTAGGGAACCACTGCTCGCTGATACACACTGCTGTTGTCTAGGTTGGGGCAAAGAACTGGAGCTCTACCATGTTGTAGCTTGTCACATTCCCCTCTCCTGAGTTGCCCTCCGTGGCTGCTTAGAGCACATGGCCTTTTTTTGCTCACACTCCCAGAGGTGGAGGTGAAGTCATTTGAACTTGTACCTTGCTTTCCATGCAGCGCAGGAGCACAGAAGCCAATAGAGCAAAGCTTCTCCGATAATGGATCAGGCAGCCACGGGGGAGCTCCTGAGCCACTGGCCCAAGGAAAGCACCAGGGTTACTCAAAACAGTCCTGCTGCACATCACAGCCACTGCTGAGACTCTAGTGTAGGAAAAACGGTGGGAGGCAAATGGAGAGGTGAAACTTCCTCCCTTTTTCCTATAGCAATTCCAAGGTGACATGCAAATGAGGAGCACAGGAGGGAAGAAGACACAGTGGACATATCCAGTCTGTGGATGGTTTCTTATTCCACAATTTTGTGTTCAAGTTGTTTTTTTAAGTGTTGTTGTTTAAGAACAGCTACTCTGAGGGCAGTGATGGAGGGTCCAGGGAGGTTAAAGTGTCCTGCTACTGGCTTGTATGCCTTTCTGGAACTGATGTCATATTGGTGTCCATTCATTTTTTAACATAAGGACTGCCCTGTCCATCCAACGTATACAGCAGAGAGGTCCTGTAAGCAAATGATGACATACATGAGGTTGGCAGAAGTGACTGAACCCCAGATGTTATGATCCAAGATATTTGTCCAGTGATGATGTGGTCTGTTGACAAGGAGGCAGAGCTGGCATCTGGCTCTGTTGCAAGGCCTGGTGGCTTGGGGAGAAGTGGTGTTAGGCAGTCGGTTGCTGGAGAGATGTTGTTTGAGGTTGGTGGTTTGCCTGTAAGCTGAGACAGGCTTGTGCCCCAGGGCTGCCTTCAGATGGTTGTTATTTTTCAGGAGGGGTTGCAGGTCATTTATGATGTGGCCAAGATGTTTCATTTAGGGGCTGTAGGTGACACCCAGAGAGATTCTGTTGCTCTTGTCAGGGGTTGGCATTGTAGCAGGTCACAACGGGCTCTTGCGGCACTGGCATATTCGTGTAGGACCCTGCTCTAACTCATGGTGCTTTGTAGCTGGGTAAATCAGAGTAGTCCCTGTTGAAGTGCTATTTAAAAAAAGAGCGGTGGCCCCAGAATCAGCATCTAACTTGAATAAATCGGTCTTATCCAGGACTCCACTGGCTGAGGCCATCCTCATCAAGAAATATTGAAATGCATGGCTTGGCAGGAGCTGGCTGATGTACTCTCTAGTGGTCAAGTTGCTCAGAAGTATTCCTGAGCCAAGTCAGGCCCCCACAGACACTATTACACTTCCTCGGGGAGGTGTAGGTACTCAGCACATTTTGGGATCCGGCTTGCATGTTTAAGGAGATGAGAAACACTAACAGAGAAACAAACGGTCACAGGAAAGCATCTTCCTAGGGGCTGTTGACAATATTACTCTAGATCAGGAACCAAATTCTGCGTGTTAGTTACTTAGCAGATGAAGTTGCCATGCCAACTCATATGCTACCTTTCATATTATTATTATTATTACGAGAGTAGGCAGCATTCCCTTGAGATTGTACAAAAGGGGAGGGAAAATGTCAAAGTGCCAATAACACAATAACATTTCTAGGCAGCGACCCCCCCATAGATTTGGTTTTCAATGTTGCTCCTCTCCCCGCCCCCTCACTTACTTTCCAGTGGTTCTCACTTCACTAACAGGGGCAAATCAAAAGACTTCTTAGTAATAATTTAGTGGACAAGGAACACTGCCATGCCTTCCTCACATTTAAATATCGGTAACCCACGTTTTTCTGCCTCAGTTTCCCACAATTCTGAGAAATAATGCACGATACCTAGGCCTCAGTATGTAGTCTCTCCTCCCAACCACCCCTTCTGTTCTCTCAGCCCTCTCTTTTCTTCACCTGCGGTTGTTTCTGCCCTAGCTTTCCTTCCATCTTTCTGTGTCCTCTTTTCTTCTACTGTTTTCTTTCCTCCCAAACATTTCCTTTCTTTTCTCTCTAATCGGTTCTGCCATTACTGTTCTCCTTCACCTCTGACCTCCCCTCCTCGGCTTCAGGAAGTCCAAAGCAGAGAGGAACGCGTTGGCTGCAGAGAGACATTGGTAAGTAGCTAGTTTTCCATGCCAATCATTATTTCAGATAGAAAGAGCTGCAGCGCGTATGCGAGAGATCCTTTGTCTGCCAGAGCAGAAGCACGGCTGTACCTAACCTTGCTGGCTTCTGTGGGCAGGACTGAGCATCAGCCTAAATTTAGAACATGTTGCTTTTCCTTCAGGACTAAAAAATACCGATCTAGGAAGGTTGAGTGTTGTGCTAGAACCAGCCATCATGCTGCATCCTGGGGGTGGGGGGACAACAAATCCTTTTCTCACTTAGCCTGGGATAAATCTAGAGTGGCTGCATTGATGTGAATGGAACTGCTCTGGATTCACACCAGCATGAGACTGGAACCTGGCCCACATTCCTGAAAGAAGATGTACTCTTGATGCTATTTCTAAGTTAGCAGATCACCCATGAGAGCTATTGCCAATTTCTTGTCAGCAGCTTGGGTCCTGACCAACCCTAAACACAGTGCTCACTTATTCATGTACCAAGAAGTGAATGGAAGGGGGAAGATTACAAAGAGAGTCACGCAGAACAGCCAGACGGCGGACAGACACAAGCTGGTCCTTCCTGAGGTATGGGTCGCTCTGGTTTCAATTAGTGTAGGGGCCATACTAGTCAAGCTCTCACATTTTCCCCACCTTTGCTCACAATACATATTCAAAACCCTTTGGACTTTTTAATATTTGTTTAGGATCAAATCCTCATACCATTGCCAGTAGCTGGGCTGGCCCGGGGGAATCCATGGTGACAGAGTGAGAGAAAGGATCCTGGTTACCCAACCCATAGCACAGTAGAAGGGCAGCTGTGCAGCCCTCATTGCAGCCAGTGCTTCTGCTACATTTACTCTCCTGCTTGAGGCATCAAAAGAGCCCGCTGGCTCCCAGCCCTGTTCCTCCCTGCCCCACGCTTGAGCCCTGCTTTGCTAGGAAATGGAGGCAGCACGCAAAGAGTTGGGCTCCATGGTGTGGGGTACTACATGGTCCCAGTCACCACAATCTCCCAAAATCTTGCCTATGGAGGCAGGGCTCTGCCCTCTGGGAACAAGGTGATATTTACTCCTCACCTCATGGGAGTGCTTCCAGGAGCTTAAGCTCAAGCTTTTTGCCGAGGCTCCTGGTTTCACGTGGCTGAGGAGAATGTGGAAAAAGAGGTGATTTCAGTGAAATGCAGTCACTCCTGGCAACACCTCCTGGCATCACTCCCTGAGTCCTTGGCACAGCTCTCAGCTGGAACACTGCAGAAGTGCCTTGTGCCCATACATTCAACTGCTAATTGTGACAATATTGCTGTTTATTTGGAAGGTGTATGGCAGCCACTAACTAAAGGAAACCTGGCACAGCTTGTCCACTGAAGCATAGGTAAGGAAAAAGGGGGAGTGGGCTTGTGGTTGGCTATGTAAATACTCTGTTTGCTATGGTGTGGGGGACAGGAAGTCCAGGCATTTGCTATTCTGTTAGTGGAGATGGACTCAAGCCACAAAGTTCAGTTCTTGATCCAGTTTTCACCCACTCAAAAGGGAGGACATTTGCATCCAAGATTCTGGTACAGGTCAATCCCTGCCCCTTAATAAATAAAATGAACAGAAGCATATCCTGTTCCCCCCTCTCCCAAACTATCCTTGACACCCTATCAGCTCTATTAGCCTCTGGACACACAAAAATCAATCCTGGATAATTAAGCACAACATAATGGCTCTTTTAGGACTTGCCTCTATTACAGCATTTTATCAGGTTTGTTCATAGTCCTGTTCAATTGAGCGAGGTAATATGATGCTGAGGATTTATATAGTAGAAGACAGGGCAGTGTGGCACCTTAATGACCGATTTGTTCACAGAGGCATGAGCTTATATACTTTATCAGATGATATGAATGAACTTTCACAGAGCAAGAGTACTAAATAGAAAGGCAGAAGGCAGGATAGAGAAAAGGATAAAGTCATTTAAATACAAAGCTAGTTCAGGTAATGGGATAAGAATCCAGAGTCTCCACTGAGACCATACATAATACAATACAATCCGCCTCTGTTGATCTGGAGCAGGGGATTCCTATACTTACAATATAATCCCCAAGGTGTAGCCACTCAGATCAACAGAGACAGTCTCAGGCACAGACAGAAGTTATGTTTTTCATGTGATGGGCCCCCTGAAAGCGCTCTACAGCTATGCCATGACACATGTGCATGACTGCAGAGTGCTTTTAAAGTGGCAATTTGTGTGCAAAATTAAATCTTCTCAAGTGAGATATCATATGAAGACCCTCCACTTCAGAGTGCCTTAGGGAATTTGTGTTCCCTAGGGTTAATTTGTCATACAATCAGGGCTGGGCTGATGCAGGGGCTATCAGAAGGGAGGAGGAGGAAGCCAGCAGCAGTGAGCTGCCAGCTGGGGTTTGAGCTGGAGGATGGGCAGGTGGCTTGGAGCCCCCATGCCTCATGGTACCCCCAGTCCCCATGCCTCCCTTCCAGCTTGCTGCTGCTGGCTTCCCCCTCTCCCCTCCTCCCTCCCTTCCTGC